TATATCGATTATATGGTACTACAGATTGTACATGTTTCAGATACCTTTCCCTCTACACTAAAACAGCTACAAGCCACCAAGAACCCTTCGAAGTTGTTCATCATCATCATCTCGATTTATGTTCACTTTCTCCAATTTGATGGGATTTGCTTCTTCAGCTCCGGCAAAAACATCCGAAGGGATGTTGATACCCGTGAAACCAAGCATGATGGCAGCACCTCCAATATAATCCAAGGCAGCAGGCGCATTTCCAGTCAATTTATCAACAATGGCTGCCAATGGCACCTGAATCGAGAGACCCGCTGTGGCCACAGTGGTTGACATCAGTAAAACGGCCTTGGCCTACAAATAGTCGCTCAGTACACTAACCAGTAAACCTGCAAGAAAATACTAGAGCGACTAGAAACGTGAACAAACTTGACGAGATCAGTACAGAGAATTATTGATATTTACATGAAGAATATACATAATTTTTTTTTTTAAAAAAAAAATAAAAATAAAAATATGTAACCTAAACTTCCACTGTTTTTACACACTGCAACCCAAATTTGATTCCAGGTAAGTGACTTTCTTGATTACAAGTTTTTCAGGAACATTTATTGAAACGTTTTTAAAAGAATTCCCAAATGTCTAGAATATAAAAGAGATTGTGGTCAGATTCTTACAGTGACTGTAGTGTACTTAAGAGAGAGGTTAAACGTGAGCTGGGCAAAGAACCACATAGGACAAATCAACAGGCTGACTTTTGCAATCCTCCGCCGTGTCTAAACAGCCACCAACATTCTAGACAACCAAATGCAGTCCGTCCTATAACACCTCCTTCATGGGCATCATTATCCCCATTTTCTTCTGCTCCAATCACATCCAAACTCAATACATCGGATTTTGCACTGGCCTCTCCGTTCTCGAGAAGAATCTCCTTCGCAAGAGCCCTCGATTCTTGCAAAGTGGCATCTTTGTATCCCGCCAGAAAGCGGCTCAGTTTGAGCAACGGTATATACCCGAAAAACAGCGAATTGCAAATGTATGTTACTAGAAATGGGGACACCCCCTCGTCTAGCAGGGGTACCTCGGGCTATTAACCCAATATCCGAAGAAAAAACAGACGAAAAATATAACTCTGAGTTCATATCATCTAGCAGCTGATGTTTCGATTTGTTGGCACGTTCGATATTGTTTTCTTCAGGCAACAAGCGAAAACAAACTAAGGAGAAATTCCGAGGGGTGACAACCTGCAAGTTCCATAAAAATGTCTTAGTTGTAGGTTGGGGGAGGGATGGCCTCGCGTCGATCGTGACATCAAGGCGCCGTGGGTTTCCGCCATTTCTGGTCCAACTGATGTGTTAGTCTTTGGTTGTGCATCCTCGTCGATCTTCCAGACGCTGATCTTAAGGTTATGGATGGCAGCGTAAACTCTGTTTTCGTAAACCGCAATCGATATCACAGCGTCGGAGATGTTTGCGACAGGGGTGAGATCGGAAATTTTGGGGCACAGTAAAAATATGCTCCTCATAATGGTAGCTGAACATGTAGAAAACTAGGAAAATAAGTGTCCAAAACATAGTTACAGAAAATTCCATTTTATCAATTTATAAAACTAATCATATTTCAGAAATCTGATTTGTACCTTCTAACCACTAGTCGTGCTCCACCTAAAAATCCCGTCCAGCCTCGCCGTTGACCCGTCAGGCTGCATCCGTCTCACTGCCACCATCTTTCTTCTCGGCTCCGACCATCGCTGATTCGGTTGTCGTTTAAGGTCGGCGACCATCGCCGAAAGAATTTCTTCACAAATAGCTCCATCGAGGTCATTCCACCAAAGCACACACATAAACAAATGATTAAAACTACTATCACGTTGCATTCTCGAGCTCACCACCATTTGCAGACAACAGAGTTGTCACAAAGTAACTACGCAACAATGTTAAAAAGTACAAAAAAAAAAATATAGCACATAAACAAGAAAAACTCCCTAAACAAGCAAAACGTGATTA